TAGGGAAAGTGAGAAAGGACTTTGACTGCTGTAACCTGTGTTTTCTCAAGCACCTACGCTGAGCAAGGTCCAAGGTTTCACCCCTCTCCTCTTAGCCTAACTATTCTTTCTCCAAGGTATGTCCCCCCAGACCAAGTCAAAGGGCCCACTTATACCAAAGGCGGCGCCTCCACCCCCGTCCAGGGCTCCATTCCGGAAGGGAAGCCCCCGCGGACACTTCTGGGGGATCCTGTGCCGTCTCTCTCGGCTGCTGCCTCCACTTCCAGCCAGGTAACTCTCAGATGTGCCCTTCAACTTATTTTGAGATTTGGGAGACAGGGGTATCAGTTTCCTAAATCCAGTCGCCTGAACTTAGCAGACGACGGTCCAAGAGGTGTGAGCAGGTTCTCAGCCCTGCTGTTCCCATGTCTTGCATCTCTCACCTTGGATCTGTATGTTTTGGAAGAAAGACCCCAACAGGAAGTGGTATTTAGGGAAGTTAGAGTATCAACTTCAAACGTGACCATTCCTCCAAGGAAAAACAGGGGCCAGGACACTGCTTCAGGCGCCTGGGAAAGATGAGGAGGGGCTGTTGGGCGACATCGCTGTGTATCTCAGGGTTGCCTTGACTAACGTGTTCTAAAATGTGTGGTTCTGGGAGCTGCTGCACTGAGAGGACAGAGGAATTAGGGATGAGAAGGGCTCAGGCACCTTCTGCCCAGGAACCCTCTTGGTTGAGGGTAGTTTCTGCCTCTCTTCTCTCTCCACTCGCCTATCTGGGGGCAGCCCGGGGAGCCATGCAAGGGCCTGGGTCATGGCTGGGATTCCGAGTGCTATATGTACTGCCTTCTCCTCCAAGTCTGTCAGTCAGTCTCAGCCCCGGACGTCCCAGCCCCGGAGCTCTCAGCCACCTCCCCCCTCCTCGGTCAAGAAAGCCAGTACTGACCTGCTGGCCGACATCGGCGGAGACCCCTTTGCTGCTCCCCAGGTGGCACCAGCTTTTGCTGCATTCCCAGCCTTTGGGGGTAAGTGGGACTTGGGAAGAGAACCTTCCTACAACATAGGTCCCCATCACACAAGGAATTCACTCGGCCCTATAGCTCTCTGCACAGGAGTGAATGTGATGGTCATTCTGAAGCATCACGGCTGGGAGGGTGGGAGTCAGATGAGCACAGCTGGGATTACAGCCGGGATAAGTTTTGGGAGTTTGACCAGAAAGCATGGCAGTTGGGGGCTCCCAGCCCTCCCTCTTAGAGCATTGGAAAGAGCCTTTTTCTTAGTTTCTCTCTCTGTTAAAATGGGGCAAGGGGATTGTCACAGGTTCCATTTCCCCTGCCCTCTTCCAGAAGATCAGCAGTAGCCAGTAGAGGGTGGAACAAAGTGATGATCTAGTTTCCCTTTTTCCTTTTTAAAGCCCTTCCCCCTAGCAAAATCTTTTTCCATGATGCCGCCTAAACTAGGCCCTGACAAAAGTGTTAATGCCTCACGGAGTAAGGATAAAAAATGAGGAGTAAACTTGGAGGCCTCTGAGATGCCCTTTCCCCCTGCATGTGTCTGGCTCTCTGCCCCAGGCTCCTGCCAACTCCCTCTGAAGAGGACCCTGCAGGAAGGCAGATGTCCCATTGAGCAGCCCTTGGCCTTCAGAACTAGTCCGTGTGATATGGATTACATATACATCATATATAAACATAACTTTTATATTCTCTCCACCTATAGGCCAGACGCCTTCCCATGGGGGCTTTGCCAACTTCGATGCCTTTGGCAGTAGCCCTGGCTCTTCTGCATTTGGAAGCATGCCTCCAGCTGGCCAAGCCCCATTCCAGGCGCAGCCAGCACCCCCAGGTAAGCTCTGCCCCTCTGGCTTCCTTGCTTGCAACTGTGACCCACTGTCCGCACCCGTACATCACCCTGCATTCACATCCGCACCCACCCAAAGTACTGCACAAAGAGGAGAAGCTCCAGGAAAGGATGAGGGCAGTCTGATGAGGTTCTTGTCAGGAAGAAGGGGCTCTGTTCTCTTTCTTCATGTAAGGAAATGGCTAAAACTGCATCAGGAGTTGTGCAGGCTGTGCACTAGGAGGTCGCTGACTGGGAAGTAATGGAGACCCGAGTCCTAGAAAACATGAGAATGGACATGACCTTTCCTCGAGAGGGCCCCCAGGGCAAGGGCTGGGTCAGCGTACTAGGTGGTCTCCAGAAGTCCTCAGGCATCCCTCTTAGAGCAGAAGCCTGCCAACACTGCGTCGTGTTGTTCCTGTGAGATGGAAGGAGAGTCTAAAGGCCCCTAAAGCACTCGGTCCCTCCCGAAGCTCCCAGACATCAATCAGGCTTTAGAGCTTTCGGGCTGCCTCCTTCCTTTGGACATCCTGCACACAGGAGGGCAGCCAGAGCGCTGTGAGGACAGATGTCTGGGGATGGCCAGTGACTGACACTCTCTCTCTCCTCCCCACCTGCCTGCTTTCCCTGCCCCACCCTCACTGCCAGCCAGTCGGATGCTAACTGGAAGTCACAGCTTCGGTAAGTTATTCCTCCCACTCCACAGCCGACCCAAGGCAGAAGCCTCTGTCTCAGGTCCTCTGACCCTAGAGTTTTGAGGTCTGGAATGAACCCCTCAAATTTAGCCTTTAACAAAGGAGGCAGTTAGCAGTTTCCCTAGTCGTGCAGCCCACAGCCCAGCAGAGCCCATCCCACAGCGCGGACTTCCTGACTCTCTGCTCTGCCCACAGCGCCCCCGCCTCCCACTATTGCTCTTGTCTTTAATTTTTTGAATGGAACAAGAAGAGACATTTTATATTGACAGAATTTAAAATTCACAACAGAGTTCTCACATTGTGAACTTAAAGTAACTGACAGAGTAGCCTTGAAATCCATAAAGCAAAAACTATTAGACAGAAAGAAAATCTGATAAACCAACAGATGGAGACTATAATCGATTCTCACAAGATTCATAGGTGGAGTAGATAGACAAGGAGGGAAGAGAGTTGACCATTTGAGGAACACTTTAACAAGTTTGACCTAAGAAGTATAAGTAGAACTTTGTAACAAAAATACAGAATATATATTATTTTCAAACATAAAACCCTTTTATAATTTGACCATATACTGGGAAACAAACTCTCCATAAATTCTAACAAGCAGAAATTGCATAGGTCATGTTATTCTATATGGTAAAATATGTCCTAAAAAATGTCCCCACACAACGTTTCATGTCCTTAAAGGCATGAAGCAGATAAGGAGAAAACACTTACTTACAACATGGAAAACAGACAAAAAGCTAATAACCATAATGTGCCTTTTTAAACTCCTATTGATAAGAAAGACTAGAATAATGGACAAGGGATAGAAGCAGATAATACCCAGAAAAAAATGAAAATGTCCTCAACCTAACTAGTCAGGGGAAATACTAATTAGAATAAGATAGTAACTTTGCACATTATATTTACAAAATTTTTAAAGATGAATAATGGCCAGTATTGTGTGGGGAAATAGGCCCTTTTGTATGCTGTTGGCAAACATGTATACTGGTACAGGAATAATCAATTTAGCAAGAGGGAACTATTCCCAGGAATGGGATCTGGAAAGGAAACAGCCTATTACAAGGTGGTTATAAATTGGTTGGTTCAGAGATGCATTCCTAGCGCAACTGATTAGTTTAAAGGGAGTGCTTAAAGTGCCAAGCTTTAAAGGAGAGAAGGGAGGCGTCAGCCCTGGAGCCATCCCAGGCTGAACCTGGGATGGACCGTTTGTCCAGTGTCTGCTCATCTCAAGAAGCAGACAGCCCACGGCCGGACCCAGAGCCCACCAGCGCTGACGGTGCTTGGGGAGCACCCCTGTATCATGTCCATGAGGAAAGAAAGATGTCTGTTTTGCAGCTGAGGAAACTGGCTCAGCTTGACCAAAATCAAATGTGTGATCAGTGGCAGATCCCATTCATTCCCAGCCACACCGTGACCACGAGGGTGTTTCTGTGAATGTGACGTGAGGAACCACTGGGGAGGAAGTAGGAAGATTTGGGTGAGAGGTGGATGTCTCTTCTGACAAGGCTTGTTGTATTGTTATATATCTGAGGGGGAGTATGGAGAAGGGGGGGTTTCTAAAAGTGCATTTTCCCCTGAAACTGTTAGAAGGCAAGTCTACTAATCCAGCCATGTGGAGTGAGGCTCTGGCAGTGGATAGGAAGCAAAGGAGCACAGGTATCGGGAGCGTCGGCCTCCTTTCTGAGGACGCGCCCTCGGTGCAGGGAGCCCAGCCTGCCTGAGCCAGGGCCGGCTCTGCCCTCTAGCGCCGGCCAGGAGGCACACAGCACTCTCTCCCCGCCCTCGGCAGAGAGCCCGGGCCTCACTGAGGGAAGCACCCTGACCCAAGGGCCCAGAGCAAGACTGAGGAGTCGGACCCCAGTAAGGACGGGGAGCTGTGTCCGCTGGGAAAGTCCATGTACCTCGAGTCCGTTGGGCAAAGGAAAGGCCTGGGGTCTGAGAAGCCGAAGATCCACCACCTCCCTGGTGGCTTCCAGCCTTCCTCACAGCCTGTGGGTACGAGAGGACTGAAGACCAGGGCTCGCAGTGGCTACAGCCTAGCACTGTGCCTCAGGAAAGCTCAGGGGTTGGGGAGGGAGAGGAGCTGAGGAGAGCACTGTCCCCTGAGTGCTGGCTCTCAAGAAGCAGCCCATCCCTGGAACCTTGCAGGCAGGCCCTGGGCACTCGGCTTCCCTGCTGGCTTCTCTGCTCTTCCACGTTACAGCCGGTCCCCCATCCCCATCAGGTATGCTCTGTGCCTGGCACCGGGAAGATACCCTTAACAGAGGGGTTTGGATAAACACAGCAGCCTCACCCTTTAGAAAAGGAAGATCCACATTACAGTTCTGAGGTGCTCAGAAGAAAGCCCAAAACTGTACTGACAAGAAACGAGGGCTGAGGTTTGAGGGGACCAGGGAGCAACGCGGATTTGAGAACCACCCCAACCCTGCCATTTCCTTCCTTGCCTTGTGTCTTTATCTTTTCCTTTCCCTCTTCTTCCTCTCGTGTCTGAGAAAGAGAAGTATCTTGTGAAGGTTACCTCCCTCGTCCTTTCCCACTTTCTGCAGGGCTTGGTCCCATCAGCTTTCCTATCTGAATTTCACCTCCACTTTCTCCGCCTCTACCGGCATGTCCCCTTTTTCCTACAAGTACACTTCAAGTTCCCGTCCTACAAAATGTCTCTGCAGCCTGACCCACGCTGGTCTCTCGTCTCACCTCTCCACAGCTGTGCCTCTGGGGAAAGGGGTCAGTAGCCTTCACTTACTCATCTTTTATTGTCCTGTTTTCTCTTTTTTTTTTTTTACTGAGCATTTTATGGCATAATACACAAGCTGTTCTGAACCTTGGTTTTTCTTTAACTTAACAGTACTATTAGGGACTTGCCTGGTGGTCCAGTGGTTAGGACTCCACGCTTCCACTGCAGGGGGCATGGGATTGATCCCTGGTTGGGAAACTAAGACCCTGCAAGCTGCATGGTGCGGCCAAAAAAATAAATAAATAAAATAACAGTACTGTTAGATTTTTTTTAGTTTTTTAATTTTTTTTTTTTTTTTAGCGGTACGCGGGCCTCTCACTGTTGTGGCCTCTCCCGTTGCGGAGCACAGGCTCCAGAGGCGCAGGCTCAGCGGCCATGGCTCACGGGCCCAGCCGCTCCGCGGCATGTGGGATCTTCCCGGACCAGGGCACGAACCCGTGTCCCCTGCATCGGCAGGCGGACTCTCAACCACTGTGCCACCAGGGAAGCCCTAGATTTTTTTTTTAGTAGTACATTAAGAGCTTCCTCATTCTTTTGTATAGCTGCGCCACTGTCCAACTTACGTCTAGACCATAATTTATCTACTCAGTTCCCTGTTGTTGAATATTTAGGATGTTCCAGTCTTTTGCTGTTAAACAGCGCTGCAGTTAATAACCCTGCTTCGGCACATTGGCAAGTTATATCTGTAAGGGAATTCTTGGCAGTGGAATTGGTCTAGTGGGGACCCAGTTGATACAGAAATAAACAAAAATACATCAAGTGCTAGGAAGGAAAAGAACAAGGTGCTAGGAGAGGAAAACCAGGATCAAACACTGGAGTCAGGAAGGCCCATGGAAGACATGGTTCTGTTAAGCCTGCAGGGTGAGTAGGAGTTAGCAGGCCAAGGCCATGGGCAAGGCCTCTTGTTCAAGGCAGCGTGGAAAGGCCAGAGCTGAGGGCTGTGGGTCGGGCCCTTTCCACTCGTGTTCACCATCGGAGCCAGCCATCCTGTGTTTCCTTTGAGACCTTGTCTGGCTTCTCTGACCCTGGAAGTAGTATCTTACAGGTATGATAATACCTCACATTTGTGTTATGCTTTATAGATTTCACAATACTTTATCTCAGAGGGCCTTTACAGCCACCCTACAGGGGGCGTGGTTGGGGAGCAAGAACAAAAGTGGGCTCCGGAGAGTGAGAGAGATGGTTTGCTGAAGTCACAGCGGTAGCAGGTGGCAGAGCCGCAAATGGAATCCAGTTCTTCTCCCTCTGCCTGTTCAGCTGTCCATTCAGCAAGCCCTTCCGGAGCACCGTCAGGAGGCGGGCACTATGTAAAGTGTGTTTCCCTTCGGTAACAGAGTCTTCCAGCACTCAGAAAAATCAAGCTTTTCCCCATTTGTAGCCTCATTTTACCCTCACTGTAGCCCAGAGTAGTTGGCAGGACCCCACACTACAAATGAGACTTAGACACTCAGATAAAGAGGCTTTCTTAAAATGACAGGGCCTCAGGCCTCTTCCTTCGAGACCAGGTTGCTGATTGGACCCTAACCCTAACCCTAACCCTAACCCTAACCTGCCCCGAGGGCTGTTCTGTCAGCTTCCCCTGTGAGGCTCTTCCATGTTGACTATGAAGACCAGGGAGCGCAGGAGAGCCCCACTGTCGGCCCTGCCCCGTGGGCAGTGCGTCCCAGCCCTGATCTGAGGTCCTGGCGTCGGGGCTCCCGAGAGGGGAGCAGGCGGCTCGATGGGAGTGAGAAGGGTGCTGGCGAGGCCGGAGATGTATGCTCAGCACCTCCAGTGCCATCTCCGTGTTCCCCGAGTCACCCAGGTGTCCCTGAGCCTTTCTGCCCTTCACAGCTCCTTCCCCACCCCTCTACCTGCCCCTTCATATGATTTATTCATAAATGGAAATGCTGGTTTAGGCAAAAGACATACGTTTCCATCTCTTAAGGAAAAAAATGGGAAGTGTAAGCCAAACTAGAGCAGGAGGGACGGTGACCTGGACGAGGAGGAAGAACTGCTTTTCTCTCTGCGGTGGCGGTTTTGAGCGCTAGGGAGATTGACAAGGGCTGAGTCTCACATCGCCTAGAATTCTCAGTGGGAGACAAACCCTCCTGAACTGGGTGATCCGATCCGGGGGAAGAACAGGCTGCCTCAGAGGACCCCGTTGGTGCCATCCCTCCCCTCCCCCTCCACTGTACCCCTGCCTCCATCTCTCCTCCTGCCCTTTCCGTCCTGTCTCATGCCAGCACCCCCTGTTTTACTTCCTGTGCCTGCCCAGGGAGCAGCCAGGGGACTCCATTTGTTGCCTCTCCTCTGGCACCTGCCAGTCAGCCCAACAGCCTTGCAGATACGGGCAGCCTCCTGGGACCCGGGGCATCAGCTGGAGGCATCCCTAGCAGGTAGGTCCAGATGTTGGGGAGCTTGCCATCGGGCAGGAGAGCCGGCCAGGAAAGCCTGGCCTTGCTTACACCAGCCCACTTGGCTCCTCCCGTCTGGCAGGACAGTTTGCCATCTCCTAGTTCCTTGCCCAGCTCACCTCCTTGGTGCTAGATGATGTGCATGCCGACTTTTCTCCCCATATCACAGCATGTTCGGGATGGCCAGCCAGGTCCCCACGCTCCAGTCGGCCACCACTGGCGGAGGCGGAAGCACAGGGCTCTCCTTTGGAGGTGAGTCTTGCGTGTAGAGACCCAGGGAGGGGATCTAAGGCCAAGAGGAAATTGGGGACCCTGGAGGGAGGGGAGTGGGGAGAGATGCACACCAGGATTTAGAGGAATGCTAATTATCACGATATTAACCAAATGAGAAAAAAATAACCAGCTCTTCATCCCCCCTCTACCCCATTCCACCCTGAGCAGCCTTCAACCCTTTCACCACACCTGCTGCTCACGCCCAGCTGCCTTCCACCAACCCTTTCCAGCCCAATGGCTTGGCCACAGGTAAGCTTCCCAGACTGTCCCCTGGCCCTGACTCTCTCCAGAGTCACCAGCCCAGGCCAGACGGGTTTAATTTCCAGTCCACCTAGTGGGCAAAAACTAGAGGCCCCTAAGTCACCGAATCAGAATTTCGGAGTTAGAAAAGACAGGCTGCCCCTTCCCTGAGCCAGTTCCGAAGGGTTAATGCTGACTGGTAGTGGTGGTGATTCTTTTTTCTCCAACCCTCAGTTTCCCTCTGGGAGCCTTCCCTTCTGTGTCCCACCTGAAACCATGGCCCTGTTCCCTGCCCTCCTCAGCTGGAGTCCTGTGGTCTCCTGCCCCTCCCCAGCCCCTGCCTCTGCTTTTCTCTCTCCAAACTCACACTCACGCCCCCCTTCGTTTTTTTGTTTGTTGTTTTTTTGTTGTTCCTCTAAAACCTTCAGGCCAGGAAGAGAGAATAATATTCGCTACCAAGCTGACCCACGTGGCAGGCCCAACACTTAGGGCTTTACATCCGTTATTTAATTTTCACAGCAGTCCGAGGAGATAGGCATGGTCCCCGTTTTAGAGATGAGAGAACTGAGGCAGAGAGGGCTGGTAATTTGCTTTGATTTATGCAGTTTAAGAGGTGGCAGAAAGCTGACCCCGTGATCATAACTACCCTGCTGTCCGAGCCACAGGCCACAGGCCGGAGAGGGCAAGGTTGGCAGGATGCTTGGACGCTGAGGGGTTTCATGCTCATTTCGGGTACTTCCACTGGGTACCTCTGGGTGGCAAAAAACTATATCCCATTTCTGTGTCTTGGAGGGACTTAGGAAGAACTGTTCTCCTGCCTACCTTCCAGAACCTCACCTACCTCATGTCCCTCCCTCCCTCCACAGGGCCAGGCTTTGGGATGAGCGGTGCTGGGCCTGGCTTCCCCCAGACAGTGCCACCCACCGGGGCTTTTTCCAGCCCCTTCCCCCCACCGCTTTTCCCCCCACC